GCGGCGAGGCCCGGGCGGAGCCCCGATGCGCTAACTGAATCAGCGATCGCTATTGGTATTGAAATATCTCAGTAAGACGAATCACAAAAGAGCAGTGGTGATTGTTCTGCGTTACTCCGAAAGTGGACGTAGTTCACTGAAACACTCAAAGGTAGCAGCACTGCCTGGATCAATAACCAGAGTCTTTGTAATACGGCTCGAACTGAGAAAATCCCCGAAAACGGGACAAAAGCATTGCCAGACGGGATTTTACGGGAAATCTTTGTACCAACCTACACCAGAATAAAGCTCGCATTATAAGCTACAGGCTGGTAAAGATTACAACGTTCCCCCGACAATGGCTGAACCACACTGATCCGGCAAACAATGCAATGCGCGCTCCCCCACCGGTGGACCCCCCGCTCCTCAGCTGAGACGCGCGGGGTCCACCGGTGGACCCGCCGCATCGAATGTGTTAAGACAGATGAAGTGCTTATCCAAGTGATTATTTTAAAATACCTAATTGCATATTGAAGTTTTAGCTTATGATACAATATGTAGTTTGATATTAGTTTTCTGTTTTATAAATAAATTTATTTTTATAAATTCTGTTTCTTATTTAAATTTAAATTATTCTTAAAGTTACCTTATTAAGTTAAGTAGTTAGTTAGGTTGATTATCATGTTAGTGAGGAGGTTGATCATGTTAGTGAGGAGGAATTAAAGGCAAGAAAAAATAAAACACACAATAACAAGTGATGTGTAGGCCTAAATAGGCCCAATTTAATGCTGCAGCCAACAAGTAGTCTCTAGGCCAAATTTTTTATTAGGCCTAAGGTAAGAGGTACTAATAATTACTAACCATATAACTTAGAAAATTTGGTATAAGTACTCAAACTACCTATTTAGGCCTAGGCAGGGTTTAGGCTAGGATGAAATTTGTTTCAGCAAAATGTTGCAAACTCTCTGCAAAGACAAAAACTAAGTTAACTGTAGAAAAAATATTATTCAATAACTTAAGCATTTAAAACAAAAAATTCCAGTAGGCTAATACATTTGTTTGAACATAACATCTTTCAATTTTATTCGTAGAAAATTTGCCATAGGCCTAGCCTGCAAAACAATGTAAACTTAGCATTTTTAAGTTGTGAATAGCAAGATGCTAAAAATACTACCGCAGCTTAAACCCTGGGCCTAGGCCTACTTAACGTGCAACTACTCGACTTGACTCGATACTCGAGTTTTTACTCAAATACTCGACTCGACTCGACTGGAATTGAAAAATCACTACTCGCCCACCCCTATTAAATAGGCCTACAAGTAGCCTACCTTACTGTTAAACAAAACAATTGTAGATTGAACATTGTACTGAATAATGTAATAGGCCCATACAATAGTAGTTATAGAAATCAAATGAAACATAGATCCTATTTTTGGAATATACATAAATGAAATTCTAAATTGGATACATAACACTAAGGAAAATTTGTCAGATGTAGTCAAATTTACACATAATTATAATACAAGGAATAAATATAATTTCAGATTACCACATCACAAGTTGACGATTTTTAGGAACAGCCCTCAATATATGGGACTTAGATTGTACAATGAATTACCCCTGTATCTTAAAAATTTAAATGCTACTCAATTCAAAGATAAAATAATTGATAAAGCCTACTATTCACTTGACGAATTTTTGGAGAACCCTATAGTTTAGATAAAAATTCTCTGACATCCTACATGAGTTTGTTTGAATTATTTTAACTATTCATTTGACTATAAAATACATCACTATGAAGAAACACCTGTTCTTATGTATGAAATGTACTTTATAAAGAATGTTTTGTGTTAATAAAATATGTTTATGTCTATTCACTATAATCCAGATATTTTTAAGATTTAGTAACAGAAAGTATTTGTTGTTTATTGCCATAGATAAAAATATTTTGCTTAGTCTATGTTATTACTCTCTAATAGCTACAATAAGAAAAAAAAATATGTTGTTATCAATAACTGATGATAACAGCTCAGCTGATTATGAACTAGATGGAAGAACAAATAGAAAGTATAACAGGGTGTCCTACCGGGAAAACCGGGAATTATGCGTAAATTTTGTTATTTACCGGGAATTTTCAATTTGCCACGATCGCGCATGAAGATGACGTTTCCGTGACCGCGGGAGACGACGATGATGTCCAACTGGCCGGGGGATTTGTTAGTGATTTTGCCGCGATCGTGCATGATGACGTTTCCGTAACCGCAGGAGACGACGACATTTCCGTGACCGCGGGAGACGACGATGACGTTTCCATCTTGCTGGAGACGACGATTACGTTTCCGTGACCGCGGGAGACGACGATGACGTTTCCGTGACCACCAAAGAGGATTATAATGTTTCTGTTACCATTGAAAAATATCAGAATTTTGTCACGAATACGACCAAGACAGTGGTGATGTTTCTGTTACTGAATGAGATATTCAGGTTTTTTCAATTATCGCAGAAAACAATTATGGTGTCTCTACGACAGTGTTAGATGATCACAATATAACCTCGAGTTTGGCTTGACCAAAAATTTCAAAATGGCACACTTCTAGAAAGTTTTTTTTTTTATTTTGTAATATCATCATTTACCTTTAACGTGGTGTTTATATGTGTTTAGAAGGGTTTAAAATTTAAATTGGCTACTTGAAATTTTTGTAAATTCTGCATTAGTTATTTCTGTAGGTCACTTGAGAAACAACCTATAACTCCAAAATTACATATAAAAGTACATAAAGACAGGGGCTGGTGTAGTAGTCATTACAGAAAATTTGGTAAAATAGAAATTATCAGTATTAAGAATCTATTTTTCAGGTGTCTGTAGAGGGATTCAAAAAAATTTGCTATCGACATATCACTATTTTTAAGAAGTTATTGATAAATTGCAGGTTTAAGGATTAGTTTTTAATTTTTGGATTATTTAACCAGTAATATATAAAAATGAAATACTTGTATCAGGCAATATTACAGTAATTATACATTTTGTTTCTTTAACTGAGAATGCTCTTTCCGATAACTAAAATAGCGAGCTGTGTTAGCGCTAAAACAGCATTGCGAGAGTTGGCGCAAAACACGTTGGAAATTTTAGTATGAAAAGTAGGAACTGAACTACCTGGATTTTTTTTACTCATGAATTACTCATGAATTTTTTGGTTGGCCTGGTGGACACCCTGTATAATGACGTTTTTATGTTGTCATCTTTATATCCTTTTTAGGAATGCAATTATTATCTTTATGTATGATTTTATACTTATTTATAAGTTATCTAATGTTTTACAAGTTTACAGAGTAATTAATTTCAACACGGGAACATCAATTATTGACTTATAATAGATGCGTTATATTAAAAAGGTCAATGACCCAAATCATGATTGCGCAATGTTGTATTTTGACACAAAATGCAAATCATGGCATTAAGTATAGTTCGAATAATATTTCTCCTGGTCTCTTGCAAATTGTATTATCAATACTAAATAATTGTGGTCAATTCAAACTATATTTTTGATTATTCAAATCTCCTGCACAAAAAGACAAAAGTCAAACCAGGCAAGGAAAAAATCCTGCTATTGTAATCCCCCTACCCAGCCATTTGGGAAGTGGTGAAAGTCTAGTCTAAATACAGCTCAAAGGTCTCACCCTCCCCTTCCCCCAACCCCTACTCCACTCATTGTTGCTGTTGCCATGCAGGCTCATTTCGAGGTCATTGCACAACCCCTCCCTCCCTTCTATTGTTTTGCCTTACTAGTGTTTCTATTCTGAATTTTTTAAACATAAATTTATTGCTTACACTAGCTGTACCCGCGGGCTTCGCCCCGTTTGACTTCATAAGTATTCGTATGGCTCATTCACGTCCTGGTTGAAGTTCGTTCGCTACGCTCACTCACCTTTAAGTTGGAGCTCGTTTGCTGCGCTCACTTGCCTTCAGGGTAGCTCGTTCGCTACGCTAACTCACCTCCAGGTTGAAGTTCGTTCGCTACGCTCACTCACCTTTTGATTGGAAATTAGCTGTTGTCATAAATTTAAAAAAAATAATAGTGCTGCACCCTGTTGGTAATCCTTGTAACTTTTATGCTATTGAACATCATAGAACAGAACCAACTTGTTTGATTGAAACAGCTGTTAAGATTCATTAATTACTTTTAAATATGAAAAATCATAAGATTAACATGGGGAACTACAGAGCCACTGGGGCGGAGCCCGAAAGGGTTTTTGAGATAAGAATATGCTTTAATGTTAATCGGGAATGTGAGCTATCATCATGCCAAATTTCAGCCCAATCCGTCCAGTAGTTTATGCGTGATTGAGCAACACACACACACACAAACATACACACAAACTCACAAACTTTCAGATTTATAATATTAGTAAGATAAGATAACAGTTCAGTAGTGGAATTTTCTATTGTGAAACAGTACTTTAAAACAAAATCACTACCGATCATGTCATTCCATTCTGTGTCAAGTAGTATACCATTGCCAGTCAGTCGCCGGCGACTGCTTTGAGTTGACCTATTCTGTTGTGACAGCTATAAAAATAGATTAGGACAACTACCTCTTGCTTATTTCTACACTGTAGAAATATTTACTAATATTTCTACAGTAATATTCTACAGTAATAGAATCTACAGTAATACAAATTATACATCATTTTATGTAAACACAAGTGACATTTTAACAAATATTGATTTTCTGCAGTTTTAAAACAAACTGGCGAGTTCAAAGATAGGCTCGAGTTTCAAGGCCGTACTCTACTCGAACTCGAAATCTCGAATACTCGCACATCTCTAGACGTTTTGTGTTAATAGTAAAAAAAATTGGATCTATTAAAACCGGATCCAGCCCAAGATCCAATTTTTTGTGGATCCGATCGGGCTTCGGTTCTAGCTCAGTTCCGGCAGATCCGGTAGTCCGATATCCGGATCCGACCATCACTATAAAACACCAATTTCTTTATAGGTCAAGTAAAATGTAATTGTTTACCCAGTGCTCGCAGTGTCACCATCCACCTTGTTTGCCAGCTGGCTCTCATGACTCTTGGACTTGGTGAGAGGTTGTGGCTCAGGGTACAATGTTGGTAGCCCTGTCTGATGTTTCCGGCGTGGCGGAGGTGTAGTAGGAAACCTCACTTTCTCACCCACTAGAAACAAACATTGCAGAAACTAGGTAATCAATTGGGATAAGTATCTAAACGACCGTGAACGAGATTGGGATATTAAAAATTGTAAAAACCTCTGCCTAATAAATATCTATTTGGCTGAGGGATCAAGTTTGGCCTATTCATCAGAAAAATTTAATTCCAAGGGGGCTTATAGATACACAATATAAGGTCAAATAACATATAACTGATATATTGTCCTATAGTGTGACTTATTCAGACATTTCTCTTCAATCTACTCTCTAAAGAAGTCTTACAGTAGAGGAAAATACCATAACTGGAGTTACGTTTTGTGACTTTTACCCCCCTTTAAATTTGGTACCTCACAGAATAACCCAAACTCAGAAGGTTACCGATTCCATCCGAAGACAGTGGTTTTTTGGTGGAACTTTTGATGGACTGAAATTCAACCATTTGACATATGTTTAGTTTTAATCAAAAGTACTGAGAAAATATTTTAAAAACTGGACTCTAGATGGTGATAAAGCTACACAAGGCCCATCATCCATTCCATACTCACATTTCATTCTTTATTAGAGTTTGAATAATCTTAGTTACAAATGACCATAAAGCCATATAGACCATAAATAGAAAATACTAACAGTAACATATCATAATAAAATAAACCAAATGGGATTAGTTTCTAGGCTTTTGTCACAACTTAACAACATTTGAGTATTTATTGAATGGTGTTAGAAGTTCTCTCTGAATACTATGTTCTGCCTGCCTTTTGTGCACAAATCATATGTTTTATTATATTGTTAATACTCAATTTACATTTTTGTTTACATTTTGTCAGTTCGTTGAAAATCATGTTCATTAAACCATCTCTTGAATTTTATATTTTTTATTGTATAAATTTTACCATCTATCATAACATTATTGGTCCTAAATCGAGCCGGGACAACAGCATATCAAAACAGAACTGCTTGGATCTATCACTGAGATTTTATTTATCAAACATTCTTTTTATGTCTACCTAAATTTGAACATTCATAATCATCATGGCATCACTGGAATCAAAACTCAAACTCCAAAAATCAAGACTACAACACCTGGAAAATGCTTCAACCTTTTTCAAAAACAAAGATATAGCTACAATAACTAAGGCTCAACAAACACGAATTGAAGTTTTGGAAGCAGATTGGAAAAAATTTGACAAAGATCACGAGGGGAGGATCTGCGAATCAAATACCGAATTGCTGAAAAATCTTGAATATCTTAATGAAGACAGCATTACAGCCGCGGAAAAGAAGCTTACCTCGTCAACAAATCGGAAGTGCTGGACCTCCTTGACTTAGTCTCAACGTCATCTCCCCAAAATGCAAGTATTACAGAAAGTAGTAAATCCAACTCTTTTCTCAGACCCAAATTGCCTCAAATATCATTGCCCCAGTTTCCAGGAGATTATCAATCCTGGAAACCGTTTAACGATCTTTTCGATTCTTTAGTAATTTCTAATCCTGACTTAACTGATGTAACAAGTACGAGTACAATGTACTCGTATAGTAGTGTCCCTTAACATTGGGAGTCCATCTAACGACAAAGTCATCTGTCCGTTAACAGCTCATATTCTGCCAAAACTCACTGCTAAGTTACCTACTATGACACCAGGTAAATCTAACTGGCATCATATCAAGGAGCTTCAACTAGCCGTCAAAGATTTCATGAACCCTGGGTCTGTAGATTTGATACTTGGAGCTGATGTTTATGGAAGTATCATTCTCCCTGGACTTATCAAGGGTCCGCCTCTAACTCCTATTGCTCAATCAACCATCTTTGGTTGGGTGTTATCTGGGCCATGTGGATTTTTCATCAATGACAATAAATCATCAATGTATCATTGCCTACTGGAGAACAAAGTAGATGATTTACTTCAGAAGTTTTGGGAACAGGAGGATTTTGCCAACGATCCAGTTCAGGTTTTATCTCCTGAAAATGAAATGTGTGAAGAACACTTTCAATCAACGCACTCTAGGACTGAAAGTGGAAGGTATGTTGTTAAACTTCCTCTAAAGAGTCTGCTGAAAATCTAGGGAGTTCTCGAACATCTGCTCTCAATGTATTGAACTCAATGAAAACACGTTTTGTTACTGATCCTAACTATCACAAACTGTATTCTAACTTCATTTCAGAATATGAATCACTTGATCATATGTCAAAAGTAAGAAGTGATTCTGTAGTATTTACTACAACTTTCTGTAGTATTTACTCCAACATTTTACTTACCTCATCATGGCGTCCTTCGGGATAGCAGTTCAACCACAAAACTAAGAGTAGTTTTCAATGGATTACAGCATTCTTCTACGGGTAAATCTCTAGATGATATCCTTCATACTGGGAAAAAGTTGCAAACTAATTTATCTGATGTCTTAATTTGGTTCAGACAATTCAAGTACGTCTTTTCTGCAGACATTGAAAAAATGTATTGGCAGATTATGGTTCATCCAGATGACTGGGACTTACAAAGAATCTTATGGTACGACAATGAACAACTCTGTACATATCGGTTGAAAACCGTAACCTATGGTTTATCGTGTGCTCCCTTTCTAGCATTGAGAACAATGAATCAACTTGTAATTGACCATGGTAATCAATATCCTTAAGGGGCATCTGTTCTTTCAAAAGGAAGATATGTTGATGACATATTTGGGGGTGCTGACACTATTGACGAATGTCAAGAGGTCTTAACACAAGCCAATCAACTTTGCATGGAAGGATGTTTTCCATTACAAAAGTGGATAAGCAACAACCTGTTAACACTAACTTCAATATCTCCCGAACGGTATGTAAAAGAAGCTTCAATTCAAATCAATTCAATTCAAATATCTTTATTCGTTTTTATGTACATTGTACAATAAATAGTGTCAAAATAATTACAATAAAAATAGTGTCAAAATAGTTCAACAGGATAAAAAACAGCAAAACATGAGGAATGGTTATAAAAACAACAAATACATTTTACAAATCTAGTAAGATAATTTATCATAGCGACTGAGGGAGGTGAAAAAAATTGTCAAATGAATAAATTGCTAAATTTATTGAAAACTCTTTCAATATTTTTTTAAATTTGTTTGGATCTGTTTCTTTTTTAATATTTTTTGGAATAAATTTAAAAAATCTATTACCTGCATAGGATGGTTTCTTTAAAAAAAAAAATTGTCCTATGTGGTTGTACATTTTCGCTCTTATTTCTTAAATTATAAGAATGGGATTTTTCTTTTGGTTCCGAATATACTTCTTGTTTTTTTGCAATTATTATTGATTCATATATATACTGCCCGTAAACAGTAAAGATTTTTAGATCCTTAAAATGCTCTTTAGCTGAATCATCACGCTGCAGCTTAAGCATGATTCTAACCACTCTTTTTTGCTCCTTTAAAATGCTATCTAGATTACATATTTTTGTTGAGCAGTAGAGTGCTATGCCAAACGTGATATGTGAATGCACATGTGCAAAATATATATATATATTTTTTTTTTAAATCACAGTAAAAAGACATACTTGATAAAGCATGAATTCCGGAATTAATTCTACTTAAAATTTTGTGGACATGTTTATCCCAATTCAAGTGCTGATCTAGTGTTAAACCCAAAAAATTTGTACTAATTTCTTCATCAATATTTTGTAAGCTATAGCTTATTGTTATTGGCTCCTTCTGTCTATTTTGTTTTGTCTTAAAATTTATAAATTTAGTTTTTTGTAAATTCATCATCAAGTTGTGGTTATTAAGAAAATTTCCAATACTTTCCAATTCTACAATATAAGCAAACATTTCTGTTTGCTCTATTGAGTTGGATAATATCACCAAATTCGAGTCATCAGCATACAGACATAGTGTTGAATTTTTATTATATATTAAAGAATCTTTCATTCCACATAGATAGCACAAAAAAAGCAGGGGCCCTAATATTGAGCATTGTGGCACTCCGAAAACTATTGGCTTATAAGTTGAGCATGATTTAATAATTCTATTGTAATTTGTCAAGTGAGTTATTTCTACGTATTGAGATCTTTCAGTGAGATATGACGTAAACCAATTAAGAGTTTGTTTTGCTACTCCTAGTCTTTGAAGTTTTTCAAGTAGAGTAGAATGCCTAACACTGTCGAATGCCTCAATGCTTCAATTTCAATCAAAGAATCAACAACTGTAAGAACCCTAGGATTAACTTGGAAACCAGCAAGTGACGATTTTCAGTTCCAGATTGATTTCCGAACTCCAGTTCCGATAACTAAGAGAAGTGTTCTATCTCATATTGCAAAACTATTTGATCCCTTAGGATTTATCTCTCCTGTAATAATTCAAGCTAAAATATTTTTGCAGCAACTATGGTTGATTAAGTTGAACTGGGATGATTTTCTTCCTCCCTACCTGTTAGCACACTGGCAAAATCTTGAAGCTCAACTAAAAGACTTGTCTATTATATCAATTCCAAGATTTTTAGGTCTCACCAAATCATCTTCCTGCTGTGTGGAACTTCACGGGTTTTTAGATGCATCCCAGTCTGCAATGGCTGCTGTTGTGAATATTAAAGTAAGGTCTGAGTCAGGTATTTTTGTAAACATCATTTGTGCTAAAACCAAGAGAGTTGCATCTCCTAAGAAAATGAGTATCCCCAGACTGGAGCTTACAGCAGCATTAATGTTGGTGCGTCTTGCAAAATATGTCAGAGAAATTCTAAATATCAAATCTGCTCCATTGTGGTTGTGGACAGATTCTCAAGTAACTCTTACTTGGATTCAGAACCACCCATCAAAGTGGAAAGACTTTGTTTGTAATCGAGTTAGCATTATAAAGGAAACAGAGCCATTAGCTCGTTGGAGGTATGTTCCTGGCAAAGAGAATCCAGCCGATTGCGCTTCACGTGGGTTGTCTCCTATAAAGCTCTGGTGGACCACAAGTTGTGGTGGTCAGGACCCTCGTGGCTTGCAGAAGATTCTGTAAAATGGCCCAAGAGCTCCGACGAACTTGCAGAGGAAG